CCATGGGTGACATCACATACTTGTGAAAGTGGTGTCTCTTATTTTAGTAACTGGGGGTTGGTTAGGGTAGAAATAACTAATAAATCTTACGTAAACCACCACACTCACCAGAGGGTTAAAACATAAAAACAGTCATTTTAAGTGGAAGTACACAAAAGGGTTATATTTTATGCAACTGAAATTTTGATTAAATTTTTGTATATAGTGATATCTATATTTAATTTTGATTCTTTTATATAGAAGCATTTTCCCCCAAAACATCTGCCTGATGGTTAAGTAACCATTACAATTCATTAGCATATACTATTACTAGTGAATGGTAAGTACGCCTGCAAACTACTATATACAATTTAAATTAAACATAACATCTCAATACAATACACTTAAAACAATTCCCTACTGATATTACAATGAGAATAACAACATTCATCAACAATGTTCCTAGCAATCAGAGTACAGTATTACAATCCCTCCATAATGTTGGAAATGTTCAATCTCTTAAAACTACATTATTAAGTGAGCACATGAACAAAGAGATGCATAAAAGAAATCTCTATTTTTTTTTATCAGCTGCCTTAAGAAAGGGTTTCCCATTTTAGTGGGAAATAGCCGTGTTAAAAAATATGCATAAACACTTCCTATTCTTTTCATATGCATCAATGACAGCATTTATATATTGTATAGACTCAATGCTTTTAAAGCACACTGTGTATGAGAAACAGATCTCTTCCATAGAAAGTTCTATAAACAACATAATTTTAGTGAAGGCTACAATTATATACTAAATTTCAAACTCATATAATATACAATACAGTGGAACCTCTGGTCACGAACGCTTCCGAACACGAACAAATCGGTTCACAACCAAAAAATTCGCCAAATTTTTGCATCTGGTCACGAACACATAATCACATGCCGATTTTCCCCACTTCCTGTTGTTTGTGTACACCTAACAAAGACCCTCGCCTTGTAGTCGGTCTCAGCCGGAGGTGCATTCATTCGCTGTGAACTCAAGGATATGGGATAAAGTACCATCCTCTTATCCCCTCCTGGGTACTTATATTAGAGAAAACATAGTGTAGTACTGTACAGTGCTGTGATATACACTTGTAATGCACCATAAAACTAAGTAAATGAGTAAGTTTATTCAGGTATACACAAATACAGTTATATGGACTATCATATATAGCAGCATATGTGTAGAGAACCTAAGATAACCCAAAAAAAAAGTCAGTGACTCATTTTCTCATTTTTTTTTGTTTGGCGTGCGCTCGTTTTCGTCGATTATCTCGGAAGTTATTCATAAATTACAGTAATTACGACTGTGATAAATTCAGATTAGCAATGTTTTATCAGCAGATAGTGCACAAACAGCCTGCAGTACCAGTACCCAGCTAGGGTTTGCCATGTATGATTTTTGGTAAATATTTTTTTCTCAGTTGTTTGTTGGGTTATCTTATTGAAACTTGGGCAATGTATGATGGAAAGATGCTTCTTAACATACACCAAAAAATGAAAGAAATTGGATGATAAATAACGGAGTTCACTTCTCAGGTGTTAGATGTCTCTTAAAACTCTTAAAAAAAAACTGTTTACAGAGAACAGTTCATAGGTTTTCTCAGTGTTATTCAAGGTTTTTACATTTAGTTTACTATTACACTGTGCATTCTATGGTATAATTAACTATTTTTGTGCTTAAAAATCTTAAAAAAACAATATTTACATAAAATTCGTAAGGGTCTGGAATGGATTAATTGTCTTTACATAGAATCCAATGGGGAAATTAGGTTTGGGTCACGCCCAGAGTTTTTGAACGAATAATGGTTGTGACCACAGGTTCCACTGTATTAGTTAATGAAGCTAAAATAATCCTTTTGCAGGGTCTTCCAAAGTTGTTTGCCAATATTAAATAACCACAACTTACTTGTACATTGCACTATTCAACTCAGTCAAGCTGCATAAAATTGTTAGACAAAATGGTCAAATGTAATCTTTACATAACCTTTACATATTATTATTTATATAAAAATCTCAAGTTCCTCAGTTTTATCTGTATGCTCATGTGAATAAAAATATGAAAATTTAAATTAGATTTGTACATCACCTATTGGAGTTTTGTCTCAATAGGTGCCTTTATTTCTATTTACAATGTAATTTTCTTTCAGTAGTAACAGAAAGCATATATGTTTAGCATGTCACAAATTGATCATCATACAAAAGTCATCGGTAACTGTGTCAAGCATTACTGTTTGCCGATCAACACTAAGAATCTAACATGATTGAAGAGTTTGGGGAAGATTGCATGGCCAACCTTGATAACTTTGGGTTGAGTTACATAAACAGAACAACAGTTTTGTACACTATTATAAGCTTAAGAGCTTTGAAACTTTGTATGAAGAGCCAGCAGGCTTTCTCTCAATTTATTTTAATTTTAAGTGCTAAAAACTACCTACAGCAAACCCTCAAATTGATTCCTGAGTAATTAATAAAATTATATGTTCAGTTAAAAACCCTAAGCTGGTAAACAATAATGAAAACAAAGTACGCTTCAATAACTGGCAGCTGTAACCAAGAGGGGTAACTGAACCAACATAAGAATACCATTACACTAATGTTTCAATTTGTATACACGTTGATCTTCAGGAATTTTAGTGGGGGGCAGTTTAGTAGCTCTACATAAAATAAATTAGGCTGATGACATGTCTAACCACATTGAATGGCTACAGTTTTATAATATTTTTGTCTAAACTGAAGGAGGTAAGTTGAGGCACTTCAGGACAAAGATACAATATCTACTATTCAATAATTTCAGGAAATTTGCAATACTGTACAGTAATTACTTACATATTACCAAGAATTATAGTAACAAGATACATGTTAAATAATTATATATATAGATCTATATATAATAATTTTGTTATTAAATACTGTATAGCTAATGACTTTTTTGAAAGTTGCTATTTACTGTACTATACAATTCTTCAAATATAACTGATTTTCAATACTTTATTGACATATTATGGAAAAAATTCATAACTATCAGAGATTACATTTTTCAGTCTAGTAATGTGCAATGCTATATTTTTCCATTAATAATCTAACACTGTAAAGTATCCCTGGATCTGGTACTATATTATCAAGGTGATTTCAGAGCCTTTAAATACAAGTTTCAACTTGATGCATTAAGTTGCTGGTAAATTATGAAGTGAATAAAGGTAGTGGAATGTTCAAAAAATATAACCATTCAAATCTAAATTGTCTCTTATTTTCTTTTCCACCATTGACAATTTCATTTTTGTTTTCTGGAACCTGTGCAACACTACTACTTTTCAAAATGTTAAAAACTCATTTGTAAAAAAATATATAATCTTTCATTCATTTCTTTCCATCCTAGCAAGATGTGGAGCATCTGTTACTGTGTAAAAATATTCTATCAATACTACAATAAATCTCATGCATAACTCATAATCCTGTGAAAAAGAAAATATTTATTACTAACAATTGTGTTTTCTTCCTCCAAAGAATAAAACCAACATTATTAAGAAGTTTCAATACACTGAAGAATAGCTGGTGATAGTACCATGTTTTTAATTGTAATTTTATTATGTTTTTATTATATTTAGTTTATTTGAATTAACTCTATACACAAAATTATTAACCTTTCTGTACAAATGAAAACATGAAGCATAAACTGGATGAGTACTGATTTTCAGACATTCAACCACACGTAATTTGTCACACGTGAAATGTACATACTGTATATGTTATGTGTTGTATACCTGTTAATGGTTCCAGGGATCACAGCCCTCATGGCCTAATCTCAGAGCAGGCCTCTTAAATCAGAAAGGAAATATGATAGGACTAAGCAAAGCCAGCTTAAGTGTAAACAGAATATTGCAAGATTTACATGTCATCTTACATGTTCATGAGACAGAAAGAAAAGTCCAACAATCATGCTACAGTGAAAACATTTAACAGGCTTCCATTTCACACTCTCATGACAGGATGGTAGCATCTCTCCAGGTGGTTGTTGTCTACTAACCTCCTACCTACAGTGTAGAGATACAGGCAATTTTTTTATTTAAAAATTGAATGCATGATAAACCATCACCTAGGAACATGCAGTATCTCCTTATGATTCCAAGAAAAATGGCAAAGCACCGATAGTATGTTAAGACATCGATTGCAGAGGACTCTTGCTTGGTACAATGTTTTGTGACAAACTGGCCTTATTAAGTACATAAATACATATTATACAATACATCCAATCAAGGTAGTCAGGTGTTGTGTGAGTGAAGTTTGAGGAATCAAGTGTTGAATGGGAGATATTCATAGAGCTGGGAAGCAGTGCAACAGACCTACCTGCTCACACTATGTTTGTTCCTTCGTTCTAATGCAAAGTGAGTTGTAGGTGTAAACTGAGTAAGCACACCACTGTTTTATGTAATCATACTAGAGAATTTAATGGAAGAGGATTCAAGGCATCTTCATTTGCTCTCGTCATTTTCACAAACCAGTAGGCCTGCACTATCCCACACCATGAGATGGGAGCAAGTGTCATGTGATGGATACAAAGGTTATTTACTTATTGATCCTGCAGGCACATGTATTTTCTGGCAGTTTCCCTCGATATAAACCTGATCACTCCCTCCTGTGACATATACTGTTGAGAGTGTGATCAGGTCTACATTGAGGATACTGCCAGATTCCTCTCAATCAACTACAGGAACATTTTTTATTTGCAACATGTCGGCTGTCTCCCACCGAGGCAGGGTGACCTAAAAAGAAAGAAAAACCTAAAAAATATGCCTGTACTGATTGCAATACTGTTATTTGTTTTTTGCTACCTCACTACTATAAATCTTATTAATTAAAATTTTTCTGTGGGAGACGGCCGACTTGTTAAAAAAAAAAAAAAAAAAAAAAATCTCTTAGTAATAAGGTAAAATAATATCTAATAAAAATTTACCACTCCATAACCTATGTCTAGTTTTAAGTAGTTTGTAAGCGTTAGGATCAGTCTGCCTGAAATACCCTGGCATGTAAGTGGCTTTCTTTGTAATTAACAACATTTTATAATATGTAAAATCACACATTGTAACATTTGCAAAGAAATAAAAATTTGTATTTGTAATGAGTGTCTATCACCATGATAGCCACTCCCATCTCATGGCACAGGACAGAGCAACTCTACTATTTTATGAAAACGATGAGATCAGATGAAGATGACTTGAATCATCTTCTATTAAACTCCTTAACACAAACAAAATAACAGTATGTTTGTCAACACCCATAACTCACATTGTGTTTGAACAATGGAATAAATTTAGAGTGTACCAGTAAGCCTGCTGCAGTACTTTCTGGCTTCTCGAATCTCAAGTCACTCAAAACTAGACCCCCATGAATCTCACTCAGTGTCCGATTTTCTGGCCTGGATGTACTATACATGATCTTCTGTTCTATGTACTTAATAAGGCCAATGTGATGAAATGGTGCACCAATTAATACTCCTCTGCAATCAATGTCTACTCACCATATTTCTATTGACATCATGCACCATGATGAATACTGGTCCAGGTTTTGTAAAGATAATGCTTAGGAATTGAACCTCTCCGTACTTTCTTTTCTTTAAACAGTCACCATTTGATCTGAGCCCCAATAAATAGTGCACAAAGCATGATGTGAAGGAATAAGCATTTAAAACCTGAAGCAATCAAATGAGGTGTTAGGATATTATTGTACCTGGAAACAATGAGACATTTACACAGAATTCAGTATATAACTTTTTTCACCCTGAGGCAACATCACCTACAATTAATATAGCATACCACAAAATTACAAAATCATACTCTACATTGAAATAAATGGGCTGAGACATTACAAAGTAATGTTCAGATATGAGGATTTTATGAAAATACAGGGTGTTCAAAAAGAAATGCAACCCACAGAGAATCCATATGGTGTATATTTCTGTTTGCTATAGTCATCACTGAATACAAAAATGCCATTCACATTACAAGAACATTTATTGTTCTTAAAGAATGTTGTGTATTCAAATCCTCATACCCTGGAAGAACTACTGTTCAACATTCAGCATACAATATATGGCACATCAATAGAAACACTAAAACAAGTGTTCCCGAACAGGATTTGTCCTGTACTCTTATGTGAAAGCCTTAATGGCCAAGAATTTCAATTTTTTTTTTCAATGTACATATTAATAAACACATTATCCATGGGTTGCAACTTTTTTGAAAACCCTTATAGAATTAGTTCCTAAAATAGATAAAAAATAAGTTAAGGGCATAAAATCTTACTGAAAGAAGTATGGTAACTTCTGTACTCACATAATATATAAATCAAACAGTATTTTCAAAGTCATAATTGGGTAAATGATTATTTTTGTCAGTAGCTGACTAAAAGATTTCTTAAAATGCTAGTAAATCAGGATACTGCATTCAAAATTTATGCAAAAATTATTTAAAAACTTGCACTCGAATTTCTTTAGTGTCAAAAAAAAAGTCATAAGCATTTACTGTATAGTTCAACAAATTGTAAAAGCAGACAAGGTTTTAATAAATACATTGATGAAAAACTTGTGCTCAACATACCTCCTTCCTTCCCTTATGCATTTCATTAATTAAGAGAGTTTATGGCATATTTGAAGAAATAATATATCTGTTTACTGTATGTCACATAAATGTCTTCATGGGTATTTTATGGGTTTGAATAACAACTGTTATTTACATTTACACCCAACTTCAACATTATTTGCATGGCCAGAGAATTCTTGGATACCTACCATGGTTGTTAACAAAAAAATCTAAGATCAATCTAGACATTGTACCAAATATGAACATGTGCTAACAAGTAATATTCACTATCTTCGAGACAGCCCATAGACAGTTATGTAGCTGTCGGTGGTACCAGCAGCCAAGAGAACTCTGCGTGGATGGAAAGCCAAACAAGAGACTGGAGCAATACGTGTGCCCATAAATCCTTCATGGTACTTGATGACGTTGACTGAGGATCCACTTGCATGGTGGACACCAATCACCTGATTAACGGACCCGCTGTTGAAACAAAAATTTAAATATTAATTTTAAACCATTTTAATTTAAAAACCATTTCTATTACTATAAATGATGAAGGAATCAAAGGTGGTTAACAAAAGAAGCAAGATTAAAATGTAGAAATTTTTAACACACTGGACATCTCCCACCAAGACAGCATTATCTGAAAAAGAGGAAACATGCAGGCACTGTACTTCCCACATCCAGGACTCAAATCTGGCTAACTGGTTTAACTTGCATCCCTTTGTAATGTTATCTTGCTTACACTCCAACAACATATCAAGTAACAAAACCCACTGGTCTCCACTTGCTCCTAACACTCACACAAGCCTTGTGGATATTCATGCCTCTATCACTCAAAGCCTTCTCACTCTAATAGTTCCTGAGACAACCCCCACCCTTCCATCTCAGATTAATATAATTTTCCTGCCATCCTATTTTGCTCCATCCTCTCAAAATGTCTGCATCTCTCTCCCCAGCCCTCCAAAAATACTTCTGGTAACCCCACACCTTCATTTAGTCTCCAAGCTCCAAATTCTTTGCATACTATTCATATCACATATTGCCCTCAAACACTACATCTAGATTGGGTCTAGCCTCCTCCTCACTGCAGTGTTTAAAATCCATGCCTCACACCCATATAACAGCGTTGGTACATCTATTCTCTGATACATCCCCGCCCCCTCCCTTTTTTTCCTTCAATGGAGAGTTTTTTTTTTTTTTGGTACATGAATGGTATACAATACTGACAAGATGAAAATTAGACACATGTTTTGTTTCCACAGATACCTCAATGCACCACCCACACTTTTTTCCTTGTCAGTTTCATGGTTCATCATCCTTCACAGACCCAACTGCTAACACATCCACTCCCAAGTATCTGAATACTTTTACTTCCTCCATATTTCCTCCCTCTAATCTGATACCTAATCTTTCATTGCCTAGATTTTTTGTTACTCTCATCACCTTGCTCTTTCCTATGTTCACTTTTACTTTCTGTCTTTAACATACTCTCCCAAATTCCTCCACCAACCTCTGCAACTTCTCTTCAGAGTCTCCCAAAAGAACTGTCATCAGCAAAAAACAACTGTGACAACTAATGCTTTGTATCAAATTTGTTATCTCTTAATAAAAACACCTCTCCCCAACAGCATAGCACTTCTTTTACAAGCTCATATGTGAATACGTAGGCTGGAACAACTAAGGTAGCATTACACGTCCCTGTGTAAGACTAGCTTGAAAATAATCCCTCTCTCTTCTATATACAGTACCCTAATCTTTACACTCCTTTCAAGAAGATAGTACTACCAGAATGTAAAGTAATTGATACTGTAATATTAAATTTGTACTTAGTGTAATAATAAAAAAAAATGGAATTGTCTGGAATACCCTATTTTTTCCATGCTCTTCACTTCAAGCAATGAATTTTAAATTGTGTATAAATTTCCAGGAACATAACCCATGCACTGTGAGAGCATTTACAATACACATAACAGATTCTGAATCTCATTACACTGAAGTTTAACATTTTAAACCTGATGATGCAACTACACATTCACTATAAACAATAAACATACGTGGCAAACAGATGAGCATTTGCATGTGTAGCCATAGAAGTCATCTCATGATTTGGTGCACAAACTTGTACAGAGTTTGACTGTCGCATATCCCATAATCTAACCTCTCCCGAGACACTGTGAAAGAAAAAATACTGTCATAACCATTTAAAAAATAATGTATGCATGAAAATTTAAAATTAATGAATGGAGTTTTTTTTTTCCTTACCACATTAGCCTTTTTTTTCCAGTAAGGTAGTATGACTCAAATAAACACACTCAATAGCTGTCTTGCCAGATGTTAGTGGACATCACAATTTAAATGACCCTCTGACAACAGTACTCTCACCCAGCTAATTTAATTACCATAATTTGCATTGCATACCCAATAAAAAATTAATGGACTGGCAATGAGGGGATTAATATTATATATTGCCTTAACTAATATACATATAAGATTAAATATAACACACTATAGCTATACACAATGAGTGAATTATACCATGAATACAAACTTAAGAATGATACACAAGAATGATAAATACACACATAAGAATGATATAGGAATGGCAGATTAACATGTTAGGATGTAGTACAGTATATGTAAAACTAGTTCAATGGGAATAGAAATTACATGAAAATCCCAGCTTATCATTATTCAATAAATAACTGGACCAAAACACAAAATGTTCACCAAGTTTTTGACTTAATTTTATATAAAGTACTAGACATCACTACTGACATTTTTCTTAGAGATTCTATCATAATTAAAATATTTTAATAGGTTAATAATTAAAAATCAAAGATAACCTAAGTTAATAATTAAAAATCAAAGAGAGATAACCTAATAATTAAAAATCAAAGAGATAAAACTTAACACATTCTAAGTAAAGGAGATTTTGAGAGGTTAGATTATGATTATCTAACCTAGAGCATCCAGCAGGCTTACAAGGCTGTGTTATACAGGAGTGAAGAGAGATTGATTTTAACCCTTTGACAGTTTTGGTCGTATACATACGTCTTACGAGCCAGTGTTTTGGACGTATTAATACGCATAAATTCTAGCGGCTTCAAATCAAGCAGGAGAAAGCTGGTAGGCCCACATGTGAGAGAATGGGTCTGTGTGGTCAGTGTGCCCTACATAAAAAAAATCCTGCAGCATGCAGTGCATAATGAGAAAAAAAAACTGACCGTTTTTTTGGATTAAAACGCCGACTTTGAGGTGTATTTTCGTATAGTATTTATCGTTGTATTCTCATTTTCATGGTCTCAAGCGATAAAATGGAAAACATATTACAGAAATAGAGATGATTTTGATTAGTTTCACGATGAAAATGACCTTGAAATTGAGCTCAAAGTAGCGGAAATGTTCGATTTTTACCAATGTTCAGGAGTAAGCAAATCACACCACACATCCAATACACGTCAACTGGGGAGTCTAATATTCTTTCACTAGTGCACTGATTATATTTATACCATTTTTACAATAATGCAGTAGTCTGCATAACAGTAAATTTTGTATTTTTTGTATGAATAAAAAATCAAAACAGAAAGCAATAGTAATATAAGAGGGGCCTAGAGACGTGACTAACGAACAGAGTATATGTTATTTTAGTGCCAAGGATGTGTACATTGTTTATTCTGGACCCTATTTTGAAATTGGCATCTTTTTTAATTTGCGTGAAATTGGCCAAATTGCCAATTTCTGACCACTTTATTGGGTAGTTCAAATCGGTAAATGGGCAGTTTCTTGTACTCAATTGATAGAAAAAATGAAGTTCTAAAGAAATAGCTATGAGTTTGGTCAACTGGAACAACGAAATTATCCAAAAACAGGGCTCAAAGTCGGCGAAATTGCCGATGCGTATATGTTGCCGAGACCAATAACTTAGCAGGAGTGTAATTCCATGAATTTTCGACCAAATTTCGTACTTTTGGTGTCATTACCATCAGGAAAAGATTCTCTATCATTTCATAAGAAAAAATAATTTTTTTTTCCCAAAAGTTTGGCGACATAGAATGACAATTTCAGAAAGGGGCTTGTGACAGTCAAAGGGTTAAATGGGTGTGGTATTGGAGTATGAGCAAGGACATTTATGAAGGTGTTTAAGAAAATGAGTTAGCCAAACTTGAGGCCTGGAGGTAGGAGGAGCAATGCCACCACTCTGAAGGAGTGAAGATGTTGCAGTTCGAGGGAAATCTGATTGTGATGTCATACTTCCCTGGTAAGACAGAGAATGTATGAATGATGGTGAATGCATTGCATTTTGGGGGGGGGGGAGGGATGGGGGTTCACCTTAACTTGCTGGAAGACAACAGTTCAGATAAAAACAATTAAAGAATAAATAAATGTCTTTCTGTGAAACGTGTGATAAAATATTTTGCATAAAAATTTTCATATAAGACTACTTATTTACATGCTGCAAGTTGGTAAGACATTATATTTTTTCTATTTTTTACAAACATTAAAAGAATTATACAATAATAGGTGATTACAGGCATTACTCTGCACCTCTTTTAGGTGCAGATGATTGGCATAAGAAAGACAGCCCATCAAAATACAATAAACTGAAATGAGACCACCAAGGACTGATGTCAGTGCAAGTGGTGGGGCTCAGTAAGCAATTCCCATTAGTCACAGTTTTCTGTTAGCTAAAATGCCCTAGATTCCAACCAATTCAAATAAAACACTTCTACTGTATTAAAATCTGCTCTTTTGAAGAAATAAACAGATTATTTGAAGAAATAGCCACCTAGGCAAGTGCAGATTAGAGCTTACTGCTTAAGAAAAAAAAAAATATAACATACACTCCAGTAATAATCTTGGTGGTAGCCTGTGAAGAGTTAAGTAAATGTGCACTGATGACCCAAGAAGTGTGTTCTCGCCACTGCCGAACAACAGCTCGATTAGTGGTTAGACGACGGTCCAGCACTCGTACATAACCATCTGAGAATCCTGCTACAATCCAAGGTCCTATAAATAAAACAAATGAAGATTAATCATTATAATAACACAGTAGAGAAAGTGGACTGTGCATTACTAAGTTAGGGTTTGTCTAAAAACTAATACTGAAATGATGCTCTCTCTCCACATATTTGTCTGCAGGTCATGCTCTTCAAATAACAGAAATGTAAGAGAAGGAACAAGAGTGTACTTTTCAATGACTGTTTCACTCAACTGAAACCTGATTGGAGTTGCTAATGAGGAAACTGTGATGGAAAAGTTCGTTAGAGTGGAACCATGAATCAGTGGTGGTGGTAGTATAATTGGATGAATGCTTGCTGGGCACTGGGCATGTATCATTACCTCTCTAACCCCCCCCTCCTTCACCCGGTGGGAGTTATCATGGGACCCTCCTGGTGAGTTGATGTTGCTTGATTTTCTGGTCCCATCAAGTCTGTAAGTATAGTGGACCCCCGACCAATGAAGGCATCGTCTAACGATAAATTCGATCAATGAAGTGTCTGAGTGTAAAAATTTTGGCCCAACCAACGATGAAAAACTCGACTAACATGATTTGTCCCGAACGCGTCCATGTGTCCCGTCTGGCCTGAGTGCCCCTTAGCTGCCCTGCCTTCAGTTAGTGTGCCAGTGTTTACAAGCCAGTGCGGTCGCATCCACGCATACATTCGGTACATTTTGTAATATTCCAGTGTTTTTAGTGCTTATAACTGCAAAATAAGCCACCATGGGCCCCAAGAAAGCTTCTAGTGCCAACCCTGTAGTAAAAAGGGTGAAAATTACAATTGAAATAAAGAAGGAGATCATCACAAAGTATGAAACTGGAGTGCGTGTCTCCGAGCTGGCCAGGTTGTATAACAAACCCCAATTAACCATCGCTACTATCTTGGCCAACAGAAAGGCAATCAAGGAAGCTGTTGTTGCGAAAGGTGCAAGTATGTTTTTGAAACACGGATCGCAAGTAGTCGAAGATGTTGAGAGACTGTTATTGGTGTGGATGAATGAAAAACAGATATCAGGAGAGAGCATCTCTCAAGCATCATATGTGAAAAGGCAAGGCAGTTGCATGACGATTTAATTAAAAATAAAGATAAACCATCATTTATTCTTCATTACACAATATACATATGTATGTTATTGTAACCACGAACGAGTGGTATTGATCAATAACAACACTGCGAAGCCAAGGATTTGAACCCATGATGTACTGGCCTGCCTCATGGTAAGCGAGAACCACATGATGCTTTAAACCACAGGACCACCCAACCCTACAAGAATGGTGCAGCCAGCACACAGCTAGCTGTTGGGCCGCCATACGAGGGCATACGGAGGTGTGGGAGCTTCTAAGCTAATTTCATTCTCATCCCTGTTTGGTGTACTAGCCTCACAAGCAGTATTTATATATTATTGTAACCACGAACGAGTGGTATTGATCAATAACAACACTGCGCTAGCCAAGGATTCGAACCCATGTTGTACTGGCCTGCCTCATGGCAAGCGAGAACCACATGACGCTTTAAACCACAGGACCACCCAACCCTACAAGAATGGTGCAGCCAGCACACAGCTAGCTGTTGGGCCGCCATACGAGGGCATACGGAGGTGTGGGAGCTTCTAAGCTAATTTCATTCTCATCCCTGTTTGGTGTACTAGCCTCACGAGCAGTATTTATATATTATTGTAACCACAAACGAGTGGTATTGATCAATAACAACACTGCGCTAGCCAAGGATTCGAACCCATGTTGTACTGGCCTGCCTCATGGTAAGCGAGAACCACATGACGCTTTAAGCCACACAACCACTCAACCTTACAAGAATGGCGCAGCCAGCACACAGCTAGCTGTTGGGCCACCATCCGAGGGCATATGGAGGTGTGGGAGCTTCTAAGATAATTTCATTCTCATCCCTGTTTGGTGTACTCGCGCAGTGTTGTTACTGATCAATACCACTCGTTCGTGGCTACAATAATATATAAATACTGCTCGTGAGGCTAGTACACCAAACAGGGATGAGAATGAAATTAGCTTAGAAGCTCCCACACCTCCGTATGCCCTCAGATGGCGACCCAACAGCTAGCTGTGTGCTGGCTGCGCCATTCTTGCAGGGATGGGTGGTCCTGTGGTTTAAACCATCATGTGGCTCTCGCTTACTATGAGGCAGGCCAGTACAACATGGGTTCGAATCCTTGGCTAGCGTAGTGTTGTTATACGTACATATGTATACATGTATTGTGCATCTATCCTTCTGTTTGTGTGTAGGAAAATGTATATTTCATGTGGTAACAATATTTTTCTTTCATACTTTTGAACGGATTAATTTGATTTCCATTATTTCTTATGGGGAAAATTAATTCAACTAATGATAATTTCATGTAACGATGAGCTCTCTGGAACGGATTAATATCGTTGGTCGAGGGCCCACTGTATAGAGCTCCACTCTTGTTTACTATTATATTATGTGTACTGGATTTTTGTTAACCAGAGCTGATTTGACTTATATATTTTAATGTAATCTTAATCCTCACCATTTCTTTTAGAGGCCTTTTGCCTATTGCAGTGGCGGCTCGTAGCTAAAATTAGTGGAGGTGCTGCTTCAGAAAATTTTTAGCATTGTTTTAAAATTGTGTTAAACGAAACAAGCATATAAAATAGCTGGAAGCACGATAATCATCTAATTCTACACTTCATCACATTCAAGAATATGGTACATGGTTTTTAAGCACAACACACATCGCTGAGTAAAAAAGAAACAGTACCTTACACTTGCACAATAAGGTCAGCACTGCGTAAGCAACAGTGCTCTCTCTATCTAGCATACAGTATCTTATCTCGGACATGTACATATGTGCACAACAGCCAAACACTGAGATGCTGGAACTGTGAAGCACACAGTTCCATACAAGGATTTTTGTAATTTTTTCATGTACTAGGGGATGGCTACTGACATTAAACTTAAGGATTATATAATGTACAAGTATAAAGACAGAATTAAAGAATAAAAGACTCATTATATTGAATGTTATCGATAATATCGAGTGAAAATAAGGGGTGCTGCAGTTCCGCAGTACCTATACACGAGCCACCACTGACCTATTGTATGAGTGATTGCTGGTCCTGGTTTTTAAACTTTTTGTTATTCTTTGCTTCAGAGTAATGTGTGGTGTGAATGTTATACATAAAATTCAAAGCATAGAAATTAGATGGAGTGAGAGTATTAAAGGAAGAATACAGAGGGTTGGGGAGGAAGTGTTGAGGTGGTTTGTGCATTTAGAGATGATGAAACAAAAGAGGATGACCAAAAGTATATTAGAAGGACATGCCAAGGATGGGCATGTCTTACAGTAATCCTCCCTTTATATTTATACGCTCCTTGAGTATATAAATCTGGGATAGAAGGAAGGAGGGGTGGGGGATGCCCCAGGAGGGGCTGGAAGGAGATGGTAAAGGAAGTTTTTAGTGTTAGGGGATTAAGCATCGAGCAGGCTAGTGTGAGCACATTAGATAACAGTGAATGAAGACGAGTGGTTTTTATGGTTTGACATACTGTTGAAGTGTGAGCAAGGTAATATTTATGATGGGATTCAGGAAAACTGATTAGCCAGACTTGAATCTAGGAGGTAGGAAGTACAATGCCTGCATTCTGAAGGAGCAGTGGGAATGTTGCAATTTGGAGAATCATCTGAGTTATGATGTCTCTACCCTCTTGGCAAAACAGCTATTGAATGATTAATGATGAATGTACAGTGGAACCTCAAATTTCGAAATGCTCCCAACTCAACCAATTACGTAAGTGTATTTTTGTAAGTGCTTTTATAAGTGTATTTTTGAGGGTCTGAAATGGACTAATCTAATTTACATTATTCCTGATAGGAATAAATTCGTTTGGTAACGGCACTCGAATAGCCGTCTGGAACAAAGAAAGTTCGAAATTTGAGGTTCCACTGTATTTTCTACTTTTCTTTTTTACCCTACCCTGGTGGAAGATGGCTGATATAGTGAATAAAATGAATTTTAAAAAAGGAGAATTCAATATGCTCAGTGTCAGTAAGTTATAATATGTAGCACAAGTGGAAATCTTCCTTCAAAACTTTATTCTTTTTTAATATAACACCTTTTAGCATCTTATTGAAATTTACCTGCATGATGTGAATGTATTGCAGTAATTACAGTAGTGTTATCTCCGCCTGTGGGCAATTCCAGGGTGCGACGCTCAGCTTGTAAGTCCCACAATCTTACTGTACGAGAGTCTCCCCCCATGATGAGGGTTGTTGTGTCCTGCTCCCAACTCATTAGCAGTCCAGCACCTATTCACACAGGTGTGATCATATACATTACAACTATGCTTATCTAGAAACTAGCTATATAAAATTTTCAAGCATTGCTTCTGGAATTTGTAATAGTGTAACAATGTAAAAAAAAATGTAATCCAAAATTCTGAAACCAAAATATAATCTGAGGATAAAAATATCTGCATACATTATATGCATATACAGTGGACCCCCGCTTAACGATCACCTCCAAATGCGACCAATTATGTAAGTGTATTTATGTAAGTGCATTTGTACGTGTATGTTTGGGGGTCTGAAATGGACTAATCTACTTCACAATATTCCTTATGGGAAAAAATTCGGTCAGTACTGGCACCTGAACATACTACTGGAATGAAAAAAGTTCGTTAACCGGGGGTCCACTGTACTTATATATGCATCAGAATATTGATAAAAAAAATAAGGTAGAGAGTTTCACCTCTTGTAGCAGGATTAATATCACTGGTGGCTTGAAAAGCAGTGACAAGTGAAGGTAAGTTCTGAGAAGGCTGATGGGCACTGTGGAATACATCCCGCCAGACACGCACACTGCCATCATCACAGGCAGTTGCAACGTAAGAATACTGTGTTCCTGGGTTAAGTACAGCCAGTGAAGAGATGCAACTCGAACCTACATTATTATTTCCCCAATGGTTGACTCGATGGCTACGTTCCACATCCCAGACTCTAAAATATAATAAATTTAATTACAGTATATACAAATAATGGGCTTATGTAAGTGAAATATAAAATAACTTTGAAGATGGGTACTGTACATTTGCTGTATATACAGATAAAACATGCCAGATGATATTAGCTAACACAAGAATTGATATAAAACAAGAGACAGGGGGGGTCTATTTTCCTCAGTTACCTGCTTTCAAGGCCTTGAAGAGTAAAAGGCTCTTGATTCAAGGAATTACAGCTACCCTCCAATTCCTCAAATCAAACCTAATTTTGTATCAAATTTTTATATCTTAAATATGATATGATCAAACAATACGTCATCATTTTGAATGCATAACTACCGTACTTGAGTGGCTCTTTAGAAATAAAATTTTTTAATTTTTAATAATTATCTCCCATTCTGCCTACCTGATTTAATGCATCTTTGTGAAAAAATGACAGCAACAATAAATGAAAGCAACAATAAAAACAAACAATGTTGTTTTTTCAGGGTTTCTAAACACAAATAAATTATAAAAGTTGAACAAATTTGGGAAGGTATGTAAAAGAAGAAAATTAAAAGTGAAAATTAGAAAAGATCAGGGTGACGAGGAGTAAATCTGAATGTTATTATTGATGATTCATGGAACAGAAAAAGCAATAATAATACTCACGTGATGTTGGTTTTATCAGCAACGGTAAGAAGGGGTTCTAGAGGATGAAAAAGGAGCACAGCTGGTGGGCCTGGATTTCTATGTACAAACACCTGATCATCTAGCTTATTTGTTCCCACGCTTCGACGTTCTTCTGATTCGGCAAGAAGCCGTGAATTCAGCAGTCTAAGGAGAAATATAACAATATTAGTTTATGTTTGATATCTCTATATAAACTGTTTCTTCTTCTCCACACACAGGGAAAAGAAACCTAGTTCAAGATGTGTACTTGTGTAGAGGAAGAAGAAGAAAGCAGTGTGGTACCTAGCATTGCCAGTCTCAAACTTGCATTAGATACATTACACTATGACAAGACAAGACAAGACAAGAGAGAGAGAGAGAGAGAGAGAGAAGAGGAGAGAGAGAGAGGAGGAGAGAGAGAGAGAGAGAGAGAGGAGAGAGAGAGAGAGACAGACAGAGAGAGAGACAGACAGAGAGACAGAGACAGAGACAGAGAGAGACAGAGAGAGACAGAGAGAGAGAGTAGAGAGAGACAGAGAGAGACAGAGAGAGAGAGACAGAGAGAGAGAGAGAGAGACAGAGAGAGACAGAGAGAGAGAGAGAGAGAGAGACAGAGAGAGACAGAGAGAGACAGAGATAGAGAGACAGAGAGAGAGAGACAGAGAGAGAGAGAGCAGAGAGAGGAGACAGAGGAGAGGAGAGAGAGAGATGAGAGAGAGAGAGAGAGAGACAGACAGGACCAGACAGACAGAGAGAGACAGACAGACAGGAGAGACAGACAGACAGAGAGAGACAGACAGACAGAGAGAGACAGACAGACAGAGAGAGACAGACAGACAGAGAGAGACAGACAGACAGACAGAGACAGACAGACAGAGACAGACAGACAGAGAGACAGAGACAGAGATGACTAGAGTATGGAACACATTCGTACAGCATAATGATGTCAACGAGATGAAATCAGTTGATCAAATGAAAATGCTGGCCCACAGATGGCTCCAACTTCATCCTGTTTCCTACTTGTATGTCTCATAACAATAAAAATGCTTTCAAATGAGCTGATGTAGGTAACAGCTCTTAGCTTGCCAATAAAGTTAGGAATCCTTAACCTCTAAATAGCTTGTCAATAAAGCTAGGGATCCTTAACCTTGTCAAACCCTGTGTAAAAAAAAAAAAAAAAAAAAAAAAAAAAAAAAAACAGAGAGAGGACAGAAAGAGACAGAGAGAGAGAAGAGAGAGAGACAAGAGAGAGAGAGAGAGAGAGAGAGAGAGAGAGAGAGAGAGAGAGAGAGAGAGAGAGACAGAGAGAGAGCAAATGATGATCGTCTCTAGGCACCATGATGGTAATGCTGGTGCAGTAGTAAGGATGACAGAGGGTGTTGGCACCTGGAGAAGAAGTTGATATCCTTGGGGTGAAATTTGACTCCAAACTAACCATGAAGAACCATGTTGTAAATCTTGCAAACAAAGCAGCCAGGAAGCTTACAGCACTTCGCCGTATCTCGCATCTGCTTGACAGTAGGGGTTGCAAGATTCTGTACGAGGCACAAGTACGCTCACACCTTGAGTATGCTCCACTTTCTTGGTTTGCCTGCCCCCCCTCTCATGTGCGACTGCTTGACAAAGTAGAGAACAGAGCAAGACGTCTCATCTCTCGCCTGGACCCAATATTGTCAAAGAACCACACTTGGATCCACTTCGAGGACAGCGTGAAACAAGCTTTTATGCCACAAGACGGGCAGACAGCAGCAACTTCACTCTGGCTGTACCCTTCTCCAGAACATCACTCCATCTGAGATCATATATACCCAGGATGACTCGAGTATGGAATACATTCGTACAGCATAATGATGTCAACAAGATAAAGTCAGTTGATCACATGAAAATGCTGGCCCACAGATGGCTCCAACTTCATCCTGTTCCCTACTTGTATGTCTCATAACAGTAAAAATTCTTTCAAATGAGCTGATGTAGGTAACAGCTCTTAGTTCTCTCTAGGCTGGAATACTGCTGTACATTAACATCTCCATTCAAAGCAGGTGAAATCGCAGATCTAGAGAGTGTACAGAGATCCTTTACTGCACGTATAAGTTCTGTCAAGCGCCTTAACTACTGGGAACGCTTGGAAGCACTTGACTTGTACTCGTTGGAACGCAGGAGGGAGAGATATATCATAATCAACACTTGGAAAATCTTGGAAGGAATGGTCCCAAATCTGCACACAGAAATCACTCCCTACGAAAGTAAAAGATTGGGCAGGCGATGCAAAATGCCCCCAATAAAAAGTAGGGGCGCCATTGGTACACTAAGGGAAAACACCATAAGTGTCCGGGGCCCCAAGACTGTTCAACAGCCTCCCATCAAGCATTAGGGGAATTGCCAATAAACCCCTGGCTGCCTTCAAGAGAGAGCTGGATAGATACCTAAAGTCAGTGCCGGATCAGCCGGACTGTGGCTCGTATGTTGGACTGCATGCGGCCAGCAGTAACAGCCTAGTTGATCAGGCTCTGATCCATCGGGAGACCTGGTCATGGACCGGGCCGCGGGGGCGTTGAACCCCGGAATAACCTCCAGGTTGCCAATAAAGTTAGGAATCCTTAACCTATAAATAGCTTGTCAATAAAGCAAGGGATCATTAACCTTGTCAAACCCTGTGTAAAAAAAAAAAAAAAAAAAAAAAAAAAAAAAAAAAGAGAGAGAGAGAGAGAGAGAGAGAGAGAAGAGAGAGAGAGAGAGAGAGAGTAGAGAGAGAGAGAGCATGTGTTGTGTGTGTGTGTGTGTGTGTGTGTGAGTGTGTGGTGTGTGTGTGTGTGTGTGCTGTGTGTGTGTGTGTGTGTGTGTGTGTGTGTGTGATGTGTGTGGTGATGTGTGTGTAGTGTATGTGTGTTGTGTGTGTGTGCGCGCCTCTTTACTGTTTGGCAAGTACAGCAATGCCTTGTCATCAGTGGTAGAAGTGGAAATGTTACACAAGTGAGGCAATATTATGGCACTATATGCAACACTCCATTAGTGTCATGTATAATGTTCACTCTAGTGGATATTAAAGAGGATAAAAACAATAAGTAAGGTTAAGTAGGATTATTATTTGCACTCCTCATTTCCTAGCTTAAAGTAATTACTGATCTACCTACTGTGTGAACCACCGCTACAATAAGTACATACATACTGAGCTACCTGTGTCTTATGAACAGGCATTCTATGACAGCTTCCACAAGTACAGTAAATTGGCTGTTAGCTTTATCTACTCATCTAACAGAGCTTGTTTTATTAAAGGTTAGTTTAATAAACAGTTATTTTTTATACTCAAGAGCCATTTTAGCTCTAGTACAGAAAAGCTTAAATTTAACAGACCAACAGAAGGAGGAGATGGTATCCAATAATGCCAATTGTCCAGTAATTTCCAATGCTAACAAGGTAAAAAAAAAAAAAAAAAGCACTATTCTACTGTATATAATATAGGATAATATGCGCACAGTGTTTTCATAGTCTCTGCATCCTGAGGGTTAAAATGTGAGGAAAATGTTCATAAACATAAGTCACAGGGCTAAACAGTGACTAATATTACCATATAAAGGAGTGTGGCAACCCTCTGGTGTCCAGAGATCAACCTTCATTTGGCCTCAAGCTTGCCTATTGCATAATGACTCAATAAATGTCTCGTTTACAAATACAATAAACCGTTTAACTTGAGGGGAATGTATGAGAGTATAGTTATACCAACACTCTTACATGGGTGTGAAGCATGGGTGGTAAATGTTGCAACAAGGAGAAGGTTGGAGGCAGTGCAGATGTCATGTCTGAGGGCAATGTGTGGTGTGAATATAATGCAGAGAATTCATAGTTTGGAAATTAGGAGGTGTGGGATCACCAAAACTATTATCCAGTGGGCTGAGGAAGGGTTGTTGAGGTGGTTTGGACATGTAGAGAGGTTGGAACAAAATAGAATGACTTCAAGAGTGTATAAATCTGTAGTTGGAGGGAGGGCAAGGTAGGGGTCGGCCTAGGAAAGGTTGGAGAGAGGGGGTAAAGGAGGTTTTGTGTGCAAGAGGCTTGAACTTCCAGCATAAGTGAGCATATCTGATAGGAGTGAATGGAGATAAATGGTTTTAAGGACTTGACATGCTGTTGGAGTGTGAGCAGGGTAACAGTTATGAAGGGAGTCAGGGAAACTGGCAGGACAGACTTGAGTCCTGGAGATGGGAATTACAGTGTCTGCACTCTGAAGGAGGGGTGTTAATGTTGCAGTTTGATAACTGTAGTGCAAGCACACCTCTGACAAGATAGTGATGGAGTGAATGATTATGAAAATTTTTCTTTTTCAGGCCTCCCTGCCTTGGTGGTAAGTGGCAGATGTGTTAATAAATAAATGAAAAATTTAACATGAAGCCAGAAATAAGAAAGGAGAGGATTGCATGTCTTGTTTTTTTTTTTTTTGGCATCAGTTTGGCCAAAATAAAGAAGTTACTGTACCTTTATTCCAACCTAAAAAAACCTCAGCCATTTCCTACCAAGGCAGTGTGGCCCAGAGAATACAAACCTGTCTACATCTACTTGTAACACTTGAGATGATACTATGTTAAATTATTTTTTATCAATAAGTCTCAACAGATGAGAACCTCAACACCTCAAATGATAAGTTTGTGATGATAATATTATTATAATACTGTACCTGTCAGAATAGCCATGAAGAGGGGAAGTATTGGAATTTATTTCATCAACAGACTTTTGTCGAGGAAGGATAAATATCTTAGCACTCCACTCAACAAATTCTGTGGTAATCATTGGCTTCATAAAACTGATTTCACCTTCATCAACCTATAAGTAAAAGCAATTTAATGAGTCTACATAAATAAAAAAATACTTTCACAGTATATTTGTTTTGTAATTCTTGAGTATAAAATTTTTGTTATATAAATTTTGTGAGTTATTCTTCCACATTTTGAAGAGGATATTGGTCATCTTTCTTATTATAATTATTTTCATAAGAAAGTACTAAACCCATAAGCCATAAGGGTTCGTACAACAACTCGGAATGCGAGTGCTGATCCAAGAAAGGAGATGGCAGCTCCAGTTTTTTTTTGGATCAAGAGATTTTTGTTGGCAATAAGACAGCTCTTTGAAGGAAGTTTTCTTTACAAAACTTCAGTACACTGCATTAATAGCAATATACCTTGAAGGAAAATACAAACAAATTGGAACTTACATGGTTTATATGGTTTCTTGATCGTGCACGGGTAGGCAGAGATGTCTCCATGGAGGAGGGTGGAGAATCTCCTCCACTGAAAGAAAATGTTTTAATTACGGCTAAATATAAGCAGGTTTAGCATCTTTCTAACACCCACTGTATTTACAGGGAGTTGTTATTATGAATGGCTAATCAAAAATAATTTTAATACTGTGTTTCAAAATGTAGATGTTAGTGGCCCCTTGCTCCCGGCATTTTTGTTGCCTCTTACGACACACATGGCTTACAGAGGAAGAATTCTGTTCCATCTTTCCCTATATCTCTATCTCTATATCTCTCTCTATCTCTATATCTCTCTCTATATCTATATATCTCTCTCTATATCTATCTCTCTCTCTCTCTCTTTCAACAAATCGGCCATTTCCCACCGAGGCAGGGTGGCCCAAAAAGAAAAAGAAAAGTTTCGCTTTTTAATTTTAGTAATGTATACAGGAGGAGGAGTTACTAGCCTCTTCCTCCCGGCATTTTAGTCGCTTCCTATGACATGCATGGCTTACGGAGGAAGAATTCTGTTCCACTACCCCATGGAGATAAGAGGAAATAAACAAGAACAAGAGCTAGTAGGAAAATAGAAGAAAACCCAGAGGGGTGTGTACATATATGCTTGTACATGGATGTGTAGTGTGACCTAAGTGTAAGTAGAAGTAGCAAGACATACCTGAAATCTTGCATGCTTATGAGACAGAAAAGACACCAGCAATCCTACCATCATGTAAAACAATTACAGGTTTTCGTTTTACACTCACTTGGCAGGACGGTGGAACCTCCCTGGGCAGCTGCTGTCTACCAGCTTACTACCTAGAATAAATATATAAGTTTACTGAGTATACCAGGAAAAGTGTATGGTAGGGTTATTATTGAAAGAATTAGAGGTAAGACAGAATGTAGGATTGCGGATGAGCAAGGAGGTTTTAGAGTGAGTAGGGGATGTGTAGATCAAGTGTTTATCTTGAAGCATATATGTGAACAGTATTTAGATAAAGGTAGGGAAGTTTTTATTGCATTTATGGATTTAGAAAAGGCATATGATAGAGTGGATAGGGGAGCAATGTGGCAGATGTTACAAGTATATGGAATAGGTGGTAAGTTACTAAATGCTGTAGTTTTTATGACGATAGTGAGGCTCAGGTTAGGGTGTGTAGAAGAGAGAGAGACTACTTCCCGGTAAAAGTAGGTCTTAGACAGGGATGTGTAATGTCACCATGGTTGTTTAATATATTTATAGATGGGGTTGTAAAAGAAGTAAATGCTAGGGTGTTCAGGAGAGGGGTGGGATTAAATTAAGGGGAATCAAATACAAAATGGGAATTGACAGTTACTTTTTGCTGATGATACTGTGCTTATGGGAGATTCTAAAGAAAAACTGAAAAGGTTAGTAGACGAGTTTGGGAGTGTGGGTAAAGGTAGAAAGTTGAAAGTGAACATAGAAAAGAGTGAAGTGATGAGGGTATCAAATACATATACAAGCATATAATTACACATCCCTCTGGGTTTTCTTCTATTTTCTTTCTAGTTCTTGTTCTTGTTTATTTCTGCTTATCTCTATGGGAAAGTGGAACAGAATTCTTCCTCTGTAAGCCATGCATTGCAAGAGGCAACTAAAATGCCGGGAGCAAGGAGCTAGTAACCCCTTCTCCTGTATAGATTACTAAATTTAGAAAGAGAAACTTTTGTTTTTCTTTTTGGGCCACCCTGCCTTGGTGGGATACGGCTGGTTTGTTGAAAAAAAAAATCATGGGGAAAGATCTAAACCTGTAGGGGTCAAACAGCACCTTTGGGAAGTGGGAGGTATTCATGTTTGATGTAGATTAGGTGAGCACAGGTCCAATTCCTTGGATCTAAAGCCCCTAACTAGCAATTATATATTTGAGTTTGGGGGCTAAGCTCCAGCTCTTGATCTTGCCTCTTAACCTTCAGCCAACTAAAATTATTAAGCCCTGTTTTGTCTATTTCTGAGACCCTGTATGGAGAGTGTTTGCTCATAGAACTATAAGTGAATAAGAATGAACACTAATTAACGTGAGTTAAATAAATACTTACACAATGAACATGGGTTTATTCACTGGTGTTCCTGGAGCTGACTCCACCTTCTGCTCAACAAAGTCTTTTGAGCCTGTTCTCACCTGGAATACAACAGAAACAAATCATATTCAGAAAGGCTAATCTGTTTTCTTCCTTACCAAAAAAATATGATATAAAACCATATAATTGACACAGTTACTTTTTGCTGATGATACTGTGCTTATGGGTGATTCTAAAGAAAAATTGCAAAGGTTAGTGGATGAGTTTGAGAATGTGTGTAAAGGTAGAAAGTTGAAAGTGAACATAGAAAAGAGTAAGGTGATGAGGGTATCAAATGATTTAGATAAAGAAAAATTGGATATCAAATTGGGAAGGAGGAGTATGGAAGAAGTGAATGTTTTCAGATACTTGGGAGTTGACGTGTTGGCAGATGGATTTATGAAGGATGAGGTTAATCATAGAATTGATGAGGGAAAAAAGGTGAGTGGTGCGTTGAGGTATATGTGGAGTCAAAAAACGTTATCTATGGAGGCAAAGAAGGGAATGTATGAAAGTATAGTAGTACCAACACTCTTATATGGATGTGAAGCTTGGGTGGTAAATGCAGCAGCGAGGAGACGGTTGGAGGCAGTGGAGATGTCCTGTCTAAGGGCAATGTGTGGTGTAAATATTATGCAGAAAATTCGGAGTGTGGAAATTAGGAGAAGGTGTGGAGTTAATAAAAGCATTAGTGAGAGGGCAGAAGAGGGGTTGTTGAGGTGGTTTGGTCATTTAGAGAGAATGGATCAAAGTAGAATGACATGGAAAGCATATAAATCTATAGGGGAAGAAAAGAGGGGTAGGGGTCGTCCTCGAAAGGGTTGGAAAGAGGGGGTAAAGGAGGTTTTGTGGGCGAGGGGCTTGGACTTCCAGCAAGCGTGCATGAGCGTGTTAGATATGAGTGAATGGAGACGAATGATACTTGGGACCTGACGATCTGTTGGAGTGTGAGCAGGGTAATATTTAGTGAAGGGATTCAGGGAAACCGGTTATTTTCATATAGTCGGACTTGAGTCCTGGAAATGGGAAGTACAATGCCTGCACTTTAAAGGAGTGGTTTAGGATATTGGCAGTTTGGAGGGATATGTTGTGTATCTTTATACGTATATGCTTCTAAACTGTTGTATTCTGGGCACCTCTGCAAAAGCAGTGATAATGTGTGAGTGTGGTGAAAGTGTTGAATGATGATGAAAGTATTTTCTTTTTGGGGATTTTCTTTCTTTTTTGGGTCACCCTGCCTCGGTGGGAGACGACCGACTTGTTAAAAAAAAAAAAAAAAAAAAAAAAAAGTAATGTACTAAGGATATACAGTACTTACACACAATCATGAATCACTAAAGAGCAAAGGAAATTTCACCCTTAAAATATGTGAAGCAACAAGCAAGAGATATCTATACATTCACAAACACAAATGATGTATGGCAAAGCATCCCATTGTGACATACTTTGACTTATGACACCTTAACCTGTTACAATACATCTTTTCTCTATCAAAGAAATGTAAATTCTTTTTCAAGTAACAAATTCATATTCTATCCATAAAACTGATGTGCAACAAAGCTTCCAAAACACAAGCAGTGGACACTGGAAAGTTAGTAAGCATAGTAATCAAAATACTAAACTGAATAGAATATCTGCCATTAAGACTAAAGCACAGCACGAGGTGCCGTATACTACAGTTTTCTCTCAATATTCAGAGGCGATGTATTCTAGAGGTCTCAGTAAAAATAGGGATGACAAATGCCACTACACATTTTTACATTAAAAAAATACAATCTAAAATGTCTTTCTTCTCTAAATGCATTCTGGATTGTATATTATATTTATTACTCATTTCCTCATTAGCCTTGATTCTTTGTGCAGCATCTCATCTATTAAATTGATTTTTCTTGTTACAAACTTGCACAAATTTGTCTATTATTTATTCTTGTTAATTCTTTCTTTCTTAGTTCAGATGACCCTCCAAACTAATATTCTCAGCCATCTTTTAGGGTGCCGGTATTTTACATTTAATACCATGGAGGATGTAGTGCCGGCATCAAACCCACACCTAAAAAAAAGGAAAATTAAGAAACTAGAAAGACAAAAGAACCAGAGAAGACATAACAGCAACATATAAAATATTCAGAGGAAGTGATAGGGTACATAGGGATAGACTGTTAAAGAGGTGGGAAACAAGTACTTGGGATACAACTGAAAGTTAAAGACACAGATGAGCCATTTGGATGTAAGGAAGTATTGCTTCAAGTTTCAGGGTGGTTGAGAAGTAGAATGACCCTGATAAAGAAGTGGTAGAGGCAGACCCCATACATAATTTTAAGAGCAGGTATGACAGGGTCCACAAGGCTAGAAGAGAGTGAATCCAACAAGCAACAGGATGAGAGGCAGGGCCAGGAGATTAGACTCAATCCCTGCAACCACATATAGATAAGAACCAACATTATTCAAGTACAAAAGTGTCTTCAATTGCTTCCAGCAAAATCTGATGTTACATACCTTAAAGGTTCTAATAATTAGAGTGTAACTCCACTTAATGACGAGGATAGGGACCAATGAAGCCATTTGTTAGGGACAGTAATTTAACTAAAAAAAATTTAAACAATGAAATTCAGTGTACTGTACTGAGCCAAGATTGGTACTTTCAGGAAAACACCAGGATAAACCTACAGTACAGGGTGTAATGCATATTTCAACCCAGCCAACAGGAGCTCCAAAAGATTGTACTAAAATTAATCCACATGTCTTTACCTATTTTGATTAAAATATTCTTCTTTCAACAAACCGGTGGTATCCCACCAAAGCAGGGTAGTCAAAAAAGAAAAACAAAAGTTTCTCTTTCTAACTTTAGTACTGTATACAGGAGAAGGGGTTACTAGCCCCTTGCTCCCAGCATGTTAGTTGCCTCTTATGACATGCATAGCTTCCAGAGGAAGAATTCTGTTTCACTTCCCCATGGAGGTAAGAGGAAACTAGTAAAAAAACAGAAGACAACCCAGAGGGATGTGTGTATATATATGCTTGTGTACATGCAAGTGTGGTGTAACCCAAGTGTAAGTAGAAGTAACAAGACGTACTTGAAATCTTGCATGTTTGTGAGAAAGAAAAAAAGACACCAGCAATCCTACTGTGAGGTAAAATCAATTACGGGCTTCCATTTTACACTCACTTGGCAGGACAGTAGTACCTCCCTGGGCAGTTGCTGTCTACCAACTTACTACCAAAGAAAAGCTACATACAGTTAAATATATTTAAGTGTATACTGAAAGTAAGCAAAACTATGTCAAATTTATCTGCCCTCTTACATGCTCATAAGACCAAAAAAAAAAAAAAACTACAGTTTATGCTTAACAACTTCATGAATACCACTAAACATAGAGTACAGTACCTTATTTTTTACATAGTCCACCACTAATTTTGCAAGATTAGCAACTTGTGGATAAGGGTCATGTTCAAGGGTGATGAGGGTCTGCCACAACTTGAAGTACATCCCACTATATGAAAGGCTGCTTACACCAGAGAACACATTGCTTGTCCCTGAAATTGCCAACATGATGTTTTAACAGCTAAATAACAGTGAACATGTTTTATTTACCAGTATAGGAAAAATACTTAACATGTTTTAATTACAGGTAATACAAAGAGGTTATCACTTTCCCAGGACAAAACAAAGTTATCCAATATCCAAGAAACATGACAGTACATGCTAAAATATTATCAATTAGAAAATACAGTAGATTGCTGATATCTGACAGCAGTGGGGAGGTTGTGAAGGTTTTCAAAAATAATTCATAATATTCTTTATGGTTCTCACTCTTTGCACATTAATTTTTTTGCATTACCTATTCAGGTGCTCAGTACAAAAGAGACTGCCAGATAATGCTAAATGCTGAATAAACAACTGATGAATAATCAATGATTTATTTTATGTACACTAAATGCATTAAAGGAGATAGGATACTATAAGTATGATTTTACTCCTGTTACTAAACAGATTCTTACAGTAAACATGCACCTGTCCACACTGAATTTTAACTACTGTACTAGAATGGGAACTGTTAATCAATGAAAGCTCTGAGTTAGGTGTATGATGAGACACTGATATTTTCATGGTAAGCAGAAACTGCTAAAAGCCTTTCTGTTTTTTTTTGTGTTGCTTTATTAGAAAATTTTCCTGGCAAATGAATATTCTGGCATAATTTTTTACTTATTTGTGAGTTTCTCAAGGATTTTATAGTTTAACGAATTTTGTTCTGAATTTCTACTTTCATTCTTAGCAGTCATCACCTGGACACACAAGTGAGGACAGGCTTCAATGTTACAATATACTCTAACTCTGTTACATGTGTACTACCTGATAATGCATCATTCCCCTCCACACGCACGCACCCACGCATGTACGCATGCATGCGTACACACAGGCACGCACGCGTGCACACACACGCACGCACACACACGCACACACACACACACGCACGCACACACTGAGGGACAAACAGGGGTACCAGAGAGTATACCTCGACCGCGACAGAACACAAGAAGAAAGGACTACACTGAAAGAGAGGGTACAGAGACGCAAGGAGGAACGAGAGGCAATGACGAAGATGAGCAGGACCCAGACACAGGAGGAAGGGCAAACACACCCCACAGAATCTCCCACCAAAAGACTCCAACCGCGACATTCCCAACGCAACTGAGCAACCTATACTACAACCCACTCACTGTTCCCTCTGCCACCAACCCCCATATCACAAACCTCACCCCAAAAGCTGTCCCTTATGGGCATTCTGACCCCACCCCTATCATCACAAACCCCACCTACACCACAGCCCCATATAGGCCCCCACCAAGGCTCTTGCTCCCCCAACCCCAATATTCTTGCATGACCACAATGATAGAAAAGAAACTGAAAGTTTGGTACACAAAGCGAATGGAATAACAAATAAACATGAGGAGTGGAAAAGAAAGAATCAGTGAAAAATCCCCAGACATCATAGCAGTCACAGAAACAAAACTCACTGAGACAATAACAGACACAATCTTCCCAACGGGATATCAGATCCTGAGGAAAGATAGAAGGAGTAGAGGGGGAGGAGGGGTTGCACTGCTCATAAAACACTGATGGGGATTTGAGGAAATGGAAGGCATGGACATGATTGGAGAAAGAGACTACATTGTAGGTACAATTCAGTCCGGAGAACATAAAGTAATCATTGGAGTGATGTATAACCCACCACAGAACTGCAGGAGGCCAAGAGAGGAGTACGAAGAAAACAACAGGGTGATGGTGGACACACTGGCTGAGGTGGCAAAAAGAGCTCACTCGAGCAGAGCAAAGTTACTGGTAATGGGCGATTTCAACCACAGGGAGATCGACTGGGAAAACCAGGAGCCACATGGGGGTCCCGAAACATGGAGAGCCAAGATGATGGATGTGGTACTTGAAAACCTCATGCATCAACATGTCAGGGACACAACCAGAGAGAGAGGGGAGGATGAGCCAGCAAGACTGGATCTTGTGTTCACCCTGAGCAGTTCAGACACTGAAGACATCACTTACGAGAGGCCCCTTGGAGCTAGCGATCACGTGGTTCTGAGTTTTGATTATATAGTAGAGTTACAAGTGGAGAAGGTAACAGGAACTGAAGGGGACAGGCCAAACTATAAAAGGGGGGACTACGCAGGTATGAGAAACTTCCTGCAGGAGGTTCAGTGGGACAGAGAAATGGTAGGAAAATCAGTAAATGAGATGATGGAATATGTGGCAACAAAGTGCAAGGAGGCAGAGGAAAGGTTTGTTCCCAAGGGAAACAGAAATACAGTAATAGGAAGACCAAAACGAGTCCTTGGTTTACCCGAAGGTGTAGGGAGGCAAAAACTAAGTGCAACAGAGAATGGAAAAGGTACAGGAGGCATAGGACCCAGGAAAACAAGGAGATTAGTAGAAGAGCCAGAAACGAGTATGCACAGATAAGGAGGGAGGCCCAGCGACAGTATGGAAACGACATAGCATCGAAAGTCAAATCTGACCCGAAACTACTGTATAGCCACATTAGGAGGAAGACAACAGTCAAGGACCAGGTGATAAGGATGAGGAAAGAAGGTGGAGAACTCACAAGAAACGATCAAGAGGTATGTGAGGAGCTCAACACGAGATTTAAGGAAGTATTTACAGTAGAGACAGGAAGGACTCTGGGGGGACAGATCAGATGGGGACACCAGCAAGGAATACACCAACAAGTGTTGGACGACATACATACAGACGAGGAGGAGGTGAAGAAACTGCTAAGGGACATCGATACCTCAAAGGCAATGGGACCGGACAACATCTCCCCGTGGGTCCTTAGAGAGGGAGCAGATATGTTGTTGCGTGCCACTTACCACAATCTTCAACACATCCCTGGAAACTGGGCAACTACCTGAGGTATGGAAGACGGCAAATGTAGTTCCCATTTTTAAAAAAGGAGACAGAAAAGAGGCACTAAACTATAGACCTGTGTCATTGACGTGTATAGTATGCAAAGTTATGGAGAAGATTATCAGGAGGAGAGTGGTGGAGCACCTGAAACGGAACAAGAGTATAAATGCCAACCAGCACGGATTCATGGAAGGCAAATCCTGTGTCACAAACCTTCTGGAGTTTTATGATAAAATAACAGAAGTAAGACACGAGAGAGAGGGGTGGGTTGATTGCATCTTCTTGGACTGCAAGAAGGCCTTTGACACAGTTCCTCACAAGAGATTAGTGCAGAAGCTAGAGCATCAGGCACATATAACAGGAAGGGCACTGCAATGGATCAGAGAATACCTGACAGGGAGGCAACAACGAGTCATGGTACGTAATGATGTATCACAGTGGGCACCTGTGACGAGCGGGGGTCCCACAGGGGTCGGTCCTAGGACCAGTGCTATTTTTGGTATATGTGAACGACATGATGGAAGGGTTAGACTCAGAAGTGTCCCTGTTTGCAGATGATGTGAAGTTAATGAGGAGAATTAAATCTGATGAGGACCAGGCAGGACTTCAAAGAGACCTGGACAGACTGGACACCTGGTCCAGCAAATGGCTTCTCGAATTTAATCCTGCCAAATGCAAAGTCATGAAGATAGGGGAAGGGCACAGAAGACCACAGACAGAGTATAGGCTAGGTGGCCAAAGACTGCAAACCTCACTCAAGGAGAAAGATCTTGGGGTGAGTATAACACCGAGCATGTCTCCGGAAGCACACATCAATCAGATAACTGCTGCAGCATATGAGCGCCTGGCAAACCTGAGAACAGCATTCCGATACCTTAGTAAGGAATCGTTCAAGACACTGTGCACCGTGTATGTCAGGCCCATACTGGAGTATGCAGCACCTGTTTGGAACCCGCACTTGATAAAGCACGTCAAGATACTAGAGAAAGTACAAAGGTTTGCGACAAGGTTAGTTCCAGAGCTAAGGGAAATGTCCTATGAAGAAAGATTACGGGAAATCGGCCTGATGACACTGGAGGACAGGAGGGTCAGGGGAGACATGATAACGACATATAAAATACTGCGTGGAATAGACAAGGTGGACAAAGACAGGATGTTCCAGGGAGGGGACACAGAAACAAGAGGCCACAATTGGAAGTTGAAGACACAAATGAGTCAGAGAGATATTAGGAAGTATTTCTTCAGTCATAGAGTTGTCAGGCAGTGGAATAGCCTAGAAAATGACGTAGTGGAGGCAGGAACCATACACAGTTTTAAGACGAGGTTTGATAAAGCTCATGGAGCGGGGAGAGAGAGGGCCCAGTAGCAACCGGTGAAGAGGCGGGGCCAGGAGCTAAGACTCGACCCCTGCAACCACAAATAGGTGAGTAAATAGGTGAGTACACACACACACACACACACACACAGAGGGTGTTAAACCAAATTCTATGTTTAACATAGATACTGACCTTGCACCTTTGACTTACCTATAGACGATATGGAGTGTGTAGATACTGCTCTTTTCACACCCAGAGGTGACATGTGGACATATTCATTAAAGGAGGAATCAGGACTTGATCCTAAACCCTAGTGGGAGAAAAAGAAAGTTTATGAGCTATTTTTTTTTTTACACACAAATGACTCCTCTCTTAGCTTTCCCAAAGTAACTGTGATTGACCATCTTACCAATTCAGATTTACCATATACTATTTTTGATATTCTCATGACTCCTACATTTAACATCATTCTGTTGAATAATCCAAGTTGGATCAGAACACTGTCATAAATTTCATTCTTCTTCATGCAGGTTATTTATGTATTGTTCCAGTTACGGTATTGTGCCTTTATGTTCATTATGTACTGTATTATATTCCTATGTAATCCCACTGTGTGGCAGATAACTCATTATTTAGTATAAGTCAAATATACTGAAGATATTAATATTTGTGATCATACATACCTGACCTGGAGAAGTGAGCTGTTTTGCAGCATGTCTAGAAAAGACACGACTGATGTTTGGGGGTGACATTACATTATCTGCAGATGAGGCTAGGGACTGAGGTGAGAGATCACTCATTTCATCACGGAAGTATTGACGAGCCACAGTTAGGAAGTGGCTCTCGTATACCTGTATTAGGAAATGCAAGGCCACCACCAGTTCCTGACAAAGATTAATGAAGAATATTACACAACCTCTGAGACTGCCTAAGAATTTGTACTTATTATTTAACTGTCAATGGTACACACAACTGTATGTATGTATGTGTAGTTCACCTATCTGTTCATGGAGAACAAGTTCCAGCTCTTAAGCCTTTTTTTTTTAATATATTTTCTGTTTGATCTCTGTTCAGCTACTAAACTACAATAGGATGCACCACAAATTTTTCCAATGTACCCATTTTCTAATTTGTTATATTAAAATGATGTACAGTGTATCACTGTATATAGATGATAAATTCTCCTTATGTCATTATTTGGTTGCCAAACACTATGTTTAACTAAATCTCAAAAAAAGTAAGTCATGAAGTGATGATGCTCATACAACCAGGAGGGGAAGGATGCAGCATGGAAACTCACAAGTTCTATCATCACCTGATTGTCCCACAAATAATTCAAATCCCTGGGGTTATCATTAAAATGTTAACCATTAATTAACTGGTGCACTGAGTCCCCACCCCAGTGAATAGTGTCATAGTCACATTTTAATTCATATATGGAGTTCACTACCATTACCTTCTTCTCTAGTGCACCCACAACCCTCATGCTGAGGCTACTTCTTATATCTGTTTTTGACTATTTTGGCAATTGCTGTATTTTCCATTTGCATTCCCTCACCTAGGCTCTATTCTCTTCAAAAAATAGTTTTTACACTTATTGTTCATGTATTTTTATTTTAAAAACTTTTCCTACCTGGAAATGTCACTGGCTTTTTATCATTTCTTATATTTCATGTTTGATTTGTTCACATGCCAATCTCCACATTTAGGTCCATGAGCAGTATTCTTACCTGTCTAACAAGAGGTGATCCATCATGAGTGACAGTGTTTGCCAAAGTAATGGCAATAGTGTGGTCTATGGCACGAGCATGGTCAGTCCTCTCTCGGCTTACTAAGCTACTAATGAATGTTCCCAGAGAAAATACTGCTGCTCCACGAACCTTAGTAAAAGAAAGATTGAAATATGCACTATACAGTACTTACAAATATATTATGTTAAATGCAAACAATATTAGGTTAAAAATCCTCTTGTACTCAAAAGCCTAATACAGTAGAGGAGGGCCCTGCTTTACAGGGCTAAGCTTTACGGTGTTTCACTAATGCAGCGGTTTCCAGTTACGCCCATTCTTCATTTATTCAGACTTCCTACAATAAATATATTCACCACTTACTATAAGTTAAGAACAAAAATATTTTAATAACAAAAGTAATGTGTGTACTGTACATGCATTTACTGCAGTAGCCTGGAACCTAACTTATATTACCTAAAAAAAAAAAAAAGTTGAAAAGAGAAGTTGTTAAAGTTATTTTAAGCTAATACTGTAATCATCATTTCTTTAATGGTACACAATACTGACAAGCTGATGAACAAGATACACATGCAATCATTTGCTATCTTTTTTATGAAGACCTTTTTGCCAGCCATTACACAGATTATATACTGGAAACAATATTAGTGGAGAGGTAATATTGAAGTGTTTGATCTCTCAGGCTTGATAGAAGATGTTGAGACCTTTAATTTAACCCTCAGCCTTTGCCTTGATAATGCTAAGACTGAAGGACTGAACACCTATCAACAGTGAGAGACTGACCACCTCAAAAATTCTTCTCCACTTCTTCTTCCACTGTCACTTACATATAATCTCTGTACAGGATTGTAAAAGCCACTAGTTGATGAAACATACCCAAGTGCTCAGCAAGTATCTTATCATTACAACCAATTTCACCTGCTAACCCTCCTAAAAAAAATCCTATGAAAACAAGTGCTTATTGCAAATCTGATTTCTGATTCCATAAATTAAAAAAAACAAAAATCATAATTTATTATATATTTTTTTATTAATTTTTTATATGTTTTAGTGCTAAGATAGATTTAGGTAAAAGTGACAACCCAAAAATGAATAAACAACTGATCTGCAGCATTTTTTTTTTCTTATTTTTACCACATCAGCCATTTCCCACCAAGGTGGTGTGATCTAAGTACAGGTGCAACTGTTTACTGGCATGTCATGCTGTATCTAAATTAATGGCATTCATAAAAAAAATCATAAAAAATTAGCCTACATACCTCAGGTACAGGATCAGACAGGAGTGTATACAGCTTTTCATGGGCATTATCTCTGGTAGCTGCCCAACGGGCATCAGGTTGGTGATGCCAGGTTCGACCAAGACACAGTGTCGCCCACTGTCTCTGTGGTGGATGGGAATCACCCAACAGCTCTAAACAAAGGGACATAAGTGAGCCTTGTAAAGCAACACGCTGACCTTCAGGATGCTCCCACACAATTACACCCAAGACGAATGCCGCCATTGTGCGATGTTCTGCCTGATAATGTATCCAGAAATAGTAACAAGTGATATCAATTATACTGTTGTGAAATATTCATATTGTGAATAGTAAATTTTATAATAAATATAGTCATTAATATTCCATTTTCTTATATAGGTACTGATTATCTCATTTTACTAGTTTAACACACTGGAAGCCTACCATTGAGGTAGGGTCACCATAAAAAGGAAACATTCACTATCATTCATTCACTGTTTTGCCATTATTATAATCAAATTAGGTGCTAAACCCATAGAGGGTCATACAGCAGTATGAAAAGGTATGTGTGAGTGAAGAAATGTGCTAAGGTTAAGAATGAGCAAGAAGTAAGTGTGTGTGAAGTTTGAGGTTAATGGGGGTGGGGGTTAGTGCAAGTAAAACTGAAATATGGGGGTGAGGGTTAGTGCAAGTAAAACTGAAATATGGGGGTGAGGGTTAGTGCAAGTAAAACAGAAATATAAATTGGTGCAAAAGATGAGTTTCAGAAGTCAATGAGAGAGTTTGCATCAAAGGTAGGACTTCAGCAATGTCAGTGAGAGTGAATAGGGGCAATGGAGATGTTGAAAATGGATCCTGCATGCACTCTGATAGACAAGACAATCTATTAAGATATGTTGCATAGACGATGCAACCTGACAGTCCTCACAGTGACATAGGTTGTTTCTCTGTGTGATATTCAAAGTTTATAGAAATCACAATTCAAATAACTCCTATAAACCTCAATATCCCCTACCCCTCCTTCAGAGTGCAGACACTATACCTCCCAGCTACAGGATTCAAGTCTGGCTGATCAGTGTTCCCTGAATCTTCACACTAACAGCACATCAAGCCATAAAAACCACTTGGACCTAGCTTCACCGTACAATGGTTAGTGTATCACGGCTACAATGAGTCCTAAAAGGCCATCAAAGAATAAGGATACAGCAGCAGGACCACTATAATTTATGTATCCCTCAGCAAGAGCCTCCTCTGGTTACACAGGTGAGGAGTCAGATAATCCTGACCCGTCCCCTCTCATTTTCATTCATTCTCATTCTCATGCTCTCGCATCCTCTCTCCTGAAATCACTCATGCTCTCGTATTCTCTCGCCCTATCACCTTCTCATTCTCTCATTCTTACTTTCTCTCATGTTTATGAGACAAAAAAAATAAGAGAGCACAGTGATACCTCCCTGGCCAGATTCCCACTATGATTCATACAAGGAGGCTCAGGGCACCAGCAAGCGACTGTTAATTACAGATTCACAATATCACAGAAGAAAACTAAAAATCAAAATTAGGGACAGGGATGCAAAACTAACTAACTTCAGTGAGAAGACAGAAAAGATAAGAAAAAAATAAGAGAGACAAATGCAGTATAATGCAATCATTTATTTATTGTGATATATTATTCCATTTCTCTCCAACATGAAGATAGTGAGGCACAGAAATGCATCAGGAAAGGGGGTTAGTAGTAGTGCTAACTCCACTTATGAGTTATAACGTAAATATTAACAAGCCCTTGGGGCATAATAGTGGTCGATTAATGGTTAAGGGGATGGGACCCAAGAGCTACAGCTTAATCTCACCAAAAGAAGCAGGTGAATACACACAAATCACACAAGGTAGTAAAGAATAAGCATAAAATGTTAAGTTATGAATGCTACAAAAAAAAAAAACCTAGTTCCCCTTGAACTTACTGGCATGGAGTTATCTGAGAGCACCTGAAGAAAATATTTGTAGCCATTTTCTCGGACAAGGTCTCCCTTGCAACTCTGTGAGATAAAAAAAATAGCATCCTTTATTCATTTCATAACTGAAAGCTACACAATTTAGTTTGCATATTTGACAGCATGCATTACAGATAATTACAGTATAAGTACAGTAAAAGAGTCTGCAAAAGACATTCCTTGAGAAACCTTTTGCAAATGACAGAATATACAGTAACTGAAGACATGGAGTACTTTAATGTGACCACAACATATGTATATCAAACAAAGGCACTTATTGTAAATACATGTCTTGCAATGTGAACCCAGCAGATGTAAGTGCTGTTCAGAAATAAACTATTTGTAAAAATATACATTAAGGTACTTACACTGCAAAAAAAATATATTTTATTTTTATTTTACAATAGTTTATACATCACAAGATTGTCAATAAAAATAAGCTGTTATAACTCAAAGAGTTGTGATAAGAATCTTCCACAAGAGTTTAAACTACACTTTAATGATACCTAATTATAAAAATAACTTAAAACATACACTGCACATTTAAACATATTACAAAATCTTAAAAATATTAGTACAGTGGACCCCCGGTTTACAATCAGCTCCCAATGCGACCAATTATGTAAGTGTATTTATGTAAGTGCGTTTGTATGTGTATGTTTGGGGGTTTGAAATGGACTAATCTAATTCACAATATTCCTTATGGGAACAAATTCGGTCAGTACTGGCACCTGAACATACTTCTGGAATGAAATAATATCGTAAACCGGGGGTCCACTGTACGTATTACTATTGTAGATGCACATACTGGATCAACAGCAAGAATCTTGGCCCACAGGAAAACTAAGAGAGGGCGTAGTTCCCTTGCAGTTGACTGAAGAAGACGTAACACATATGGAAAGATGCCCACAGACAGCACCAGGTTGACGGCCCATGGTCCAAGTGCAAGAAAACTTCCCAGTAGTTCCAGAGCTCGAGGACGGTGCACCTGACTTAGCAGAACCTAAAATGAAACAAAATAATCATGAAATTAATTCATATCAAGCCCATAAGTTGGGAAAAACTAACTGAAAGGACCAAAATATGATCGCATTTTCATTTAAATTTATAAGCTTCATTTGATTTATTTCAGTCATGGTATTTGGTATTATGACTTTTAATCTTAATAACAACAATAATAATTCATATTTACATTTAAACATATATAGGAAAATTTCAGCAATCGCTCTCTTTTACTCATAATAGAGCACACAGGGTCCAAGTTATAGAAAATGGACAGATTTTCAGATATAACTTGCCAAATATTAGTAATTTTTATTTTACTACTAGTATAAGCCTAAAGAAAGATCAAACTGATCACTTAGCTATAAGAAAGCTTACTGAAGGTTTTAAATATAATGAAAGTGTTTATGACCAAACACAATTCCAGGAGAATTTGATAAACGGTGGTCAGTTTGAACCTTTTTTTCTTAGACTTCACTAAATTATACACCTGTTGTATATTACAATAATTTATATCCAATAGTAGGCTGGAGGAAGTGGAGATGTCACACTGGAGAGTAATGTGTGGCGCAAGTATTGTGGAGGGAATTTACGTGGAGATTAGAAGACAGTGCGGGGCTACCAAAAGTATAATGCACAGGGCTTAGGAGGGGTAGTTGAGATGGTTTTGATATTTAGAGAGATGGAGCAAAATAGTGTCCTACTTGAAAGTGTGAATGTGTACCTTGGGAACCTCTTGTATGGTATATATTCCCACCTGGAGGACAATTGGGAGCTGTTCAGGTGGATGTCTCCGTTCATGTCCTAAGTCAAGCCATACTTGAAAGGCAGTAAGCTGCTCCTCAAAGAATGGAGAATGCACATGTGAGCATGGATCCTCAGTACGCAGTGCTGTGGGCAGCTGACCAAGGCAGAGCTCTAGAGCTAAATCCCATGCATCCCACATGGGATGCTGAAACAAGAAAATTCAAGAAAATAATAAACAGCTTTTAAATAATAAATGATATTAAAAATAACATGGAATAACGGAGGAAGAAATACTGGAAGTAATGCACAAGTGAGCAGAAGATTAAAAGCAGACAAACTGGATGAAAAATTTAGCGAGTCACGGAACCTGACCGCAGAATACAGTTTCTGTACTGTACATAAATATATTTCTTACAACACAACTTCTTTTATTCTGACCAAAATTCTAATTGCACACTAAACATACCATTAACTTCTGCAACAATTACAACTGCTATTAATATCTACATTAATATCTGCCCATCCTAAGACTTTCAAATGAAAAAAATGCAGCGGAAAATACTGTGTATCAATCAACGTACCTGGTGAGTAGGAGGGAGATCTGGAGAAGATACGGGTATGCAGTCATATGATCTCATTATGCGTTGAGCTAGGAGAAAATTACGAAATAAACTTGCAACCAAGAGATCTTGTCTAAACAACTTCTGAAACAAATCTATAAAAATAATTATTAGTAATTATCTGAAAGAAGAACCCACTTCTTAACATATTAGCTAATCTCCCACCAAGGTAAGGGTATCATCAGGAATTCTCTGCCTTTCTTTCTAGAAGCCTGCAGAAATAAATATTGATGTGTGTCAAAAACTAATGTTTTGTGTCATAATGCAACAATATAACTCATTTCAGGCTATTATACATGATGCAAAGTTAAAAATGAAATAGGCAGTTTAATAGGTAATAGCTTAAGAGATATATCACATTATAAATACTAGTTTAAAAGTTCTTTCTTTCTTTCTTTCAACACACCGGTCGCATCCCAACGAGGCGGGGTGGCCCAAAAGGAAAAACAGAAGTTTCTCCTTTTGCATTTAGTAATATATACAGTAGAACGGGTTACTAGCCCCTTGCTTCCAGCATTTTAGTCGCCTCTAACGACACGCATGGCTTACGGAGGAAGAATTCTGTTCCACTTCCCCATGGAGATAAGAGGATAATAAACAAGAACAAGAACTAGAAAGAAAATAGAAGAAAACCCAGAGGGGTATGTATATATGTATATGCTTGTACAAGTATGTGTAGTGTGACCTAAGTGTAAGTAGATGTACCTGAAATCTTGCATGTTTATGAGACAGAAAAAAGACACCAGCAATCCTACCACCATGTAAAACAATTACAGGTTTCCATTTTACACTCACTTGGCAGAACGGTAGTACCTCCCTGGGTGGTTGCTGTCTACCAACCTACTACCTCATAGTTTAAAAGTTATTTCTTATAATAAGAAATTATGTGTGAAATTACTGATATTAGTAAGTTTATAACACAATAAGAATGTTCAGTAAAAAATCACATGACTGTAATTCTTTTCTCTTTCTTTTTCTTTTAACACTACAGAAAACCTTCATGCTCTGGGAGTAGAAAATCTCTTGGAGCTCATCAAAGGTAAGGTATACATCAAAGATGTACTGTCATCTGCCCTTCTAGTTACCTTTCCCAAAGGAAATAAACATCTTTTTGAAGAACATCTTGCATAAATGATCTTCTGAATTCTTTTTAACACACTGGCCGTTTTCCACCGAGGCAGGTGGAGTGAAAAAAAAGAAAGACTTTCATCATCGCTTCATTAAAACCTACCTTTGGGATGAAACAGCTGACTTGGTAAAAGAAAGCGTGTCACTGGTGAAGATCAAGTGAACATAAGAACATACGAAAGAACACTGCAACAGGCCTACTGGCTTATGCATGGACCAATATCATGTGTGCAATGTTAGTTAAGATGGCGTACTTACCATTTTTTTCCCTATAAAAAAGTCCTGGTCCTCACTATGAGATCCTAATATTGGCACATACCTCTGGGAAGTGTATTCCACGCTATAGTGTCAGTAATTGCAGTAAATATCCAGTTAAGTTCTCCCAGTAACGTCCGTCTGTCACTCAGTTGTCCTGGGATCCTGAAACATTAAGGTTCAACTAATTGTAGCATTTATTATTTTTGTTTAAATATGACAAAAGTGAAGGAGCCATTCACACATCTGCTGATGAATTCCACACAATTATTTAGTCAGTGGCGGTAATACAATAAAATAATGTACATCCTTAACAAGCTCATGTACTAAATGTTAAAATACATATGAATTAATTTTTTTTAACATATTGGCCATCTCCCACTGAGACAGGGTGACCAAAAAATAGAAACACTCACCATCATTCACACTATCACTCTCTTGCCAGAGGTGCGCAGATACGACAGTTTAGATATCCCTCTAAACAGCAAATATACCAAACCCCTCTTTTAGATTGCAGAGAGTATACTTCTCACCTCCAGATTTTTTTTTTTTTCAACAAACCGGCCATATCCCACCGAGGCAGGGTGGTCCAAAAAGAAAAACAAAAGTTTCTCTTTTTAAATTTAGCAATACCTCCAGATATAACCTTTAAAATTGCTATACACCCTTTCCTCACTTAGTGACGTACTCGTTTACCAACAACTCAGACTTACGACGGGCTGTCTGACCAGTATGCATAGCTAAATAATGTATATTGGAGCAGATTTCCTCTATTTTCTTTATTACAATATACAGTACACTGCTGTATAAACATTTAAAAACATACTAAAAATGTTATAAATTGTTCAGAGGTGACACTAAAACAATATCAAAGATGGGTGACACAAACCCACTACCATTATAATATGCTCCTCACTTAGCGATGAATCCGTTTACCGACGTGGTCTTAGGAACAGAATTCCATCATTAAATGAGGAGAGGCTGTATTGTGTATTAAACTGACTAGTAAATAGCTTCAATTATTTGTAGTATCTATTTTATTTGTGCTTGGCGAATAACCCCAAAACTTGAAACGAAACATGGGATTCCTTGTAAATGTACTCACTAGATTTCCAACATTCATTCTCTTTCTTCCATGGTCAATCAGTCTTATGAATGTCATTATCAATGAGATTAAAGCATGCTTAAAAAAAGATGGCCTTAAACACAAAAATCTTAAATTTAAAACACAATTATTACACAAAGAATTTAGAATTTTTGCAGCTTATGGATTTGCATGACCTCTAAGGATCTAACTCCTGCAAATCTGTTAAGTTTGAGGGGTTTTGGGATATTGGCAGTTTGGAGGGATATGGTGTGTATCTTTATACGTATATACAGTACTTCTAAACTGTTGTATTCTGAGCACCTCTGCAAAAACAGTGATTATGTGTAAGTGAGGTGTAAGTGTTGAATGATGATGAAAGTATTTTCTTTTTGGGGATTTTCTTTCTTTTTGGGTCACCCTGCCTCGGTGGGAAACGGCTGACTTGTTTAAAAAAAAAAAAAATTCTCGTACAAAAATGGTATACAATACCGACTAGATGACGAGTCAGACACATAGGCAAAATCTGGGTATCAAGACCACAGTACTCTTCACCTACTCCATGGCTGAGGGACTGATTACCTCATCCTTTGCATATATAGTTCTACATTCTTCCTATTATGTCCTTGAATTTGTACTGATAAAGCCACTGGATGGCAAGACGTCTAAAAATAAAGATACCCAGATGCTGTACATGTCTAATTCTTCATAATACTTCTTACTTGTACATATGATGACTCACTTGTCAACAATATCCAGATTAAGGC